GGGACTCCAGGATCATGACCTGAGCCGAAGGCAGTCGCTCAACCAACTGAGCCACCCAGGCGCCCCCTTGCCTCATCTTTTCAGGAAACACCCCAACCTCCTGGCTAAAGGTGCCCCTCCCTGTTACTCCCTTTCCCATCCCCCTGTCCTATTGTCTTCATAGCCCTGATCACTCTCTGAAATTTTTTATTTAGATATTCACTTGTTTGTCTGAAGTTTGAGGGCAGGGCTGGGGCAGGGCTGGCCCCAGCACACAGCAGGCATGAGAGGCATGAAGGGGGGTTGTTGACTGTAGGAGACTCCCCAAACTCTGGTGTGGACCAAGATTCTGATGGGGGTGGGGGTGTTACCACCTTACATTGTTCCCAAGACCCCCTAGAATCAGAACTTGTCACCCGTTCGGAGAGTCAAACACCGAGTCTCTCTCTGTCTCTGCCTCACCCTCCTTATCCCCCCACTGCCTCTCCATGTTGTTTTCGCACTGTCCCTTTTGCTTGATGTTTCTGTCACTCTCTCATTGTCTCTGGCTCTGGCTCACCATCTCTGCATCTCTCTCTCTCACTCTTTACTTCATCTCTGTCTCTTGGTTATCTCTCAGTCTCTCTCAGTCTCTGACTCCTTGAGCATCTCTGTCTCCTCCCCTGGCCTGGCCAGGCCCCTGGGCCACGGGGTGACAGGCAGGCAGGGCGCCCTCCGCTTGTTTTCCACCCTCGCTGGCAGGGGGCCCAGCTGGGATGCTGTTCAGGAATCCTCCAGCTGCCCGGCTCCAGCCACCAGGCACAGCCACTGGCCTCTCCCAGCACATTCTGTCCCGAGTAGGGAGCCCTGGGGGTGGGTGGGGTGGGAGTGGAGGGTTCCTGTCCGGCTCCAGTTACAGGACAGCCTGTCCTGGTGGCCTTGCTCCCCACCAGTGCTGCCCCCTGATGCCTCCCCTCCCTACTTTGGGCTTAGATCTTCCTGAATGGGGCCCCTCTGCCAGCTCATCCCTACCTCAAGGGCTTTGCACCTGCTGTGCCTTCTACCTGGAGCTCCCTCTCCCCAGGTATGCCTGGGACCTTCTCCCTGGCAGACTTCAGGTCACAGATCACCTCCTCAGGACATCCTCCCTGTCTCTGGGCCAGAACGCCCCGCCATTCCCCTACTCCTGTCCTGATGCCTTTTGCTTCCTGATCTTTCCCCTTTCTCGGAGTTCTATATTTACTTGTTTGTTGGCAGGGTGTCTGTTACCCCAGAGCCCTGCTATATCCCCAGCACTGGGCGCGCACTAGGTGCTCAGTGAATATTTCAGAGTTCATACCATTTCATCCCAAAGCTCAGCTCTGCCTCAGCCACCCAGGCTCCCATGCACAGCTCCCGTCCCTTCAGCCCAGCTGACCAACCCCCGGCCCTGCCTCCTCCTGGCCCTGCGGGCCCTGCCGTGTCCCCTGCACACGCCTCCTGCCACTGTCCCCTGCACCCCCAACACACCAGCCATATCCCAGCCCTCCCATCTGTTCCCAGAGGGTTCCCTCCCCTAGATGCACCTTTTCCAGCAAGGGGCTTGGTCTCCCTGTCTTTTAGGCCCACTGGGCTCCACATGGGGGCTGCTATGACATGCGCGTGCGCGCACACACACACACACAGAGACACAGAAATAGGCCCGCGAACTCGGGGGCACACAGCCTAGACCTCGATGAGCACGGACCCACATGCACGTGCATGCACACGCGCATAAAGCACGCCAACAGGTGCAACAGTCCTGACCGCGCTGGGCGCCCGCGGCCCTGGGTGAGGGCTTGCAGGGTGTTCACGTGTGGAGTCCCCCAACTCGGAAGGGAAGCAGGCAAGATGCCCTCATCTCACAGGTGGGTGCAGGACCGGGGCTTTTGAACCCACGCCAGGGTGCGCACAGCCTTGTCCGCGTGCGTGCACGCGCGCCCCCGCCCTCGCTTCCCCCACCTCATTTCTGATGTTCAAGGCCAGGAAAGTCCCCAGAAAGCATCAGGCCGGGCAAGGGGCCCAGGAGGAAGAAGTGACTCAGCCAGTGGCCATCAGGGCCTGCCTCGCTGGGAGATCCTTGGGGGTGGGGGACTGGGGGATTCACAGAGAACAACAATAAAGGACTGGGGTGGGGCGGGGACAGGGTAAACAGGGCCTGCTGAGCAGGGTTGGGGAGGGGAGGGATGGGGCATGCCTCAGTGGGTCCCCAGTGCTCCAATACCTCCCCTCTGCTGAGCCTGATTCATAGGTGGGGAAACTGAGGCACAGAGAAGAGGTGACTTGCCCAAGGCCCTCCAGCCAGGATGGGGCAGGCAGAGGACCCCTTAGTCCTTGGTCACAGGTTTTTGCGGTTTTGGAGATACTCTCCCTGCTTGCCTTTCGGTGGGCAGATGGAGCCAGGTCGTGGCTCCAGGTGTGGACACGTGACCAGGTCTGGCCAATTAGAGCCTTTTGTGACCACAGACTCAGGCATTGGTTCAATAATAGGCATGTGACTCTGAGTGGGCCAATCACCCCAGGAGTTTGGGGGCTCCTGGAAGTGAGAATAGGAGCCATCTTTGCTACCACAAGGAGGGGCAGAACAGAGAGTCCCAAGGTCATTGTGGTGAAATCCACAGACACCCCTAGCCCTGTGGAGTGAGGGTGGAGCCAGAGGGAAGGCCCTGCGAGAGCCCTGGGAGGGCTTCCAGGAGGAGAGGACACTGGAGTTGGG